GGGAGCTGCCCCCTGGTGGTCAGTGCACTCCCACAGGGGGAGCACCCCTCAGCCACAAGCCAGGCTGACGGCTCGTGAGCACAGCGGCCCACCTCCATGGCAGTACTAAGGATGTCCGACTGACAGCTTAGGCTCGCTTGGGCCTACGCCGTTGGTCAGACATCCCCCGAGGACTCTCAGACTGCGAAAGGGCACAGGCTGGGCTGATGGACCTGCCCCCAGTGCACTAATGTCATGCACCAGGCCTCTAGTTTTTCATAATCTTAGATAGCCATTCTCTTCATACTGAAAAGATAAGTGTGTCCATATTCAATAATACTGGCTTGAGACAAATACAAATATTTTATAAGACTAGAGGCCAGGTGCATGAATTCATGCACTGGTGGAGTCCAGCCAGCCTGCCCTGATGAGGGCCATCAGGGGTGGGCTGGTTGGGGTGAGGGGCCGTGGGTGGGGCCAGCTGGAGCGAGGGGCCACAGGCGGTTTGCTGACTGGCCCTGCCCCCGGCGAGGGGCCACAGGCATTCTGGTCATTTACTGGCCAGTCAATTTGCATATTACTCTTTTATTATATAGGACTAGAGGCCCAGTACACGAAATTCATGCACAGGTAGGGTCCCTGGCAGCTGCCAGCTGCCAGCCAGGGCCTCCCTTCCTTTGTTCCACATCGCCCCCTGGTGGTCAGCACATGTCATAGCAAGCAATCAAACTCCCATTGGTCAAACTCCAGAGGGGATACCGGGAGCCGGTCCATCCTTGCTGTTTCAAGGGACCTGGCATATATGGCATATTGTTCTTAATATGTTTGCTCACCTTCTTGGCACTATGTGTTTTAACCAAGGTCTCCTCTCTGAGAAAGGTTGTTTCCCCAGGTAGGGATTTTCCCCTGAAGTTAGGGAGGGAATAAAACCTCTTAACTAAGTGCCAGGCGGGTAATTAATCACTTTAACTACGAACAATCGTGCTTAAGCTACATAATCTTTACTCCCTGGAATGAAGATAAGAAACGCCCTAACCTTTGTAATAGAGATTGATAGGATTGAATCAACTGGTATAAATACAGATACAACAAGACAGCAAGAGCCAGAACTTAGAACACAGAACTCAGAAGGCAGAACCTACACACAGAACTTAGAACACAGAACATAGAATACAGAACTTAGAATACAGAGCTTAGAACACAGAACTAAGAACACAGAACCTACTCAGAACCTAGAGACAGAAGAACTTCGCTGGAGAGAACATGGCAAAAGATCCTGGACTGAACCTGACTACAGAAATTGGCAAGAGAACCTGACTAGAACCTGGTGACTGAACCTGGCTGGAGAACCTAGCGAGGGAACATGGCTACAGAACCTGGCTGGAGAACCTGGAGAACCTAGCAAGAGAACATGGACACAGAACCTGGCTGGAGATCCTAAGCAGAACCTCTCTGGAGATCCAGACCAGAACTTGGCTGGAGATCCTGGCTGGAGATCCTGGCTAGGCTGCTGATCAACTGAACACTGTCTTCGTGTCATTCCTTCTTCGCCGACTCCGTCCACGCCTTTGGGGATCCCTGGACCTGCTGGGGTTGGACCCCGGCAAGGGGACACTTTGCATATTAGGCTTTTATATAGAGACTATAGGCCCATTGCATGAAGAGATTCGTACAATAGGCCTTCCTTCCTCTGGCTGCCGGCACCGGTTTTCCTCTGGCACCCGGGACCCAGGCCTTCACTCCAGCCGCAGAGGAGAAGGCAAGCCTCTTCAGTCTTCAGTCGTCTTCAGTCTTTGCTCCGCGCCTGCAAATGCAAATTAACTGCCATCTTTGTTGGGTTAATTTGCATACTCATCCTGATTGGCTGGTGGGCATAGCGGAGTGACACCAATTTGCATGTTTCTCTTTTATTAGTGTAGATAGTTGTTTGTTATTAAGTTTTGTCTCTTCTTCTACCCATTCAAAAGCCAGGATCTCAGTGCATCAGAGTTCTTTATCTGTGTGGTGAGAAAAATCTTCATTTCTGAAAGGTCTGAATCATGGTGGTCCTGTTGTCTGACCTTTTCAATCTTCCAATATCTCCTTAAAAAATTATTTATATTAAATTCTCTCTGACAAGCCCTGGGCAGGTAGCTCAGCTGGTTAGAGCATTATCCTGTTATGCCAAGGTTGTGGGTTCAATCTCTGGTCAGGGCACATACAAGAATCAACAGATGAATGGGTGGAACAATGAATCGATGTTTCTTCATCTCTCTATTTTTTTGTCTCTCTTCCCCTTCTTCTCTCTATAAAATCAATAAAAAGTATTTATAAAATATTCACAATCTTTAGAGAAATGCAAGTCAAACATTAGGGTAACTCTATTTAAAAAATAAGACTTGGCTTGGTATGGTGAACACAATATGATATACAGATGTATTATAGATTTGTACCCTGAAACCTATATAATGTTGTTAACCAATGTCACCCCAATAAATTCAATTTAAAAATAACAAAAAATAGGAAATAGCAAGTGTTGGCAAGGGTGTAGAAAAATCAAAACTCTTATGCCCTGTTGGTGGGAATGTAAAATGGTACAGCTACTATGGAAAACAGTATTATGGTTCCTCAAAAATATTAAAACTAGCCCGGCCTGTGTGGCTCGGTGGTTGAGCGTCAACTTATTAACCAGGAGGTCACGGTTTGATTCCCAGTCAGGGCACATGCCTGGGTTGTGAGCTTGATCCCCAGTAGGGGACGTGCTGGAGGCAGCTGATCAGTGATTCTCTTATCATTGATGTTTCTAACTCTCCCCCTCACCCTTCCTCTCTGAAATCAATAAAAATATATTTAAATATATGTATATCAAAATTAGAATTACCATATAATTCAACAATAACGTCCAAAAGAATTGAAATCAGGGTCATGTTTCCAGCAGCATTATTCACAATAAGAGATTGAGGCAGCTATTTTCTTCCCCTTCGTGTTCCCTGCTACTAGAACAGTCCTGGTGCATAGTAGGTGCTCATTAAAATTTCCTTTCATGTTGTTATGAGTTTTATTTTAAAAAACATAAGTTGTTATCAGAAACGTGTTTTCTCATCTTAAAATCAGAGGAAAGAAACCTCTCTTCCTGATTCCTTGTAAGGTCCAAATGAGATAATACACAAGAAATCACTTTGGAAGCTGTAAAGCACCATATAAATGTAAGGAAATCTTGTCTTTTTATTCATTGTGCTCTGGCATTTTGAAAAGCTCTATATTAAGGTTGCTTCTGATCAGGGGTTAATAATTTCAAGTTAAGGCCAAAGCAGAGGTTCAGAATCTAAGCAATATCCATTTGAAGGTGAACACTGCCCCCTGGTGGAAATAGAAGGGCAGGGGCAAGTGTGGTTAACAATGTGGGATTGCCAAGGGTGGTACTGACTGCAGAGAAACCACTTACTTAAATTTATACTTCTTGCCTTGTTTGTCACAGATGCTCTTTTAGAAGTAGTGTCTTTACATATGCAGGATGTCGACACATTACATCTATAAGTTGTCTAAGTATTATTATGTACAGTTAATAATCAGGCACTGAAGAGATTTTTAATTCCTTATATACTTTAATATTCTAATTCTTTAATATTTTGATTCAATAATCCAATAACAATTAAAAGAATAATTTTTACAATTTATACTACATGTTAACACTATTGATGACAATATGTGCCGCAGGCATATGTATTAGCATGGTTCATTTAGAGCATATATAAGGTATGCTCATGATGCCAGGATCTCAAGGCCATCATGAACATATGCCAAGTCTTCCCCTGGCATGTGCCTGGTGACTGAGCAAACCGTTTAACATTTCTGGGTCTCAGTTGGTTCATCTTCCAAAAACAGGGACTGAATTACGTGAAATCTGAGGTTCTTCGCAGTAATAAAAAGATCTTACAACTTTGCCAAATTTCATTTAAAGGCCATGCTGATGCTGGTGACAGGTACTGGCTGAGCAGGCTTTGGACTGCTTGTGCCAACCCAGTTCCAGAAGACACCCTGACTGTCCTGGTGACAAACCAACGTTATACCTGAACCTGAAACCAGTCAAGTCCAACCCAGTCCCTCCTACCCTTCCACCTGCTTCACCCCCACCCTCCTCACTACTGCTTCAAGAGGAGGCTCCTCGGGCCACTTCTCCTTACTCACCTCACCTTTCTTCCCAGCCTGACCTCCCCAGACCCCACACCACACACACACACACACACACACACACACACACACACACACACACACAGGCTGTAACACAATAATAACAATAACATCGTCTGCTCTCCATTGACAGTTTTTCATTTGCCACTGTGCTAAGTGTAATCTCCTTTAGCGTCTCAACAAACTGGGGTGGAAACTGTTTTATCCACATTTTAACAATTATCTGAACCCTTTCTGCAAGCCTCCCTGGGTTCGATTGAAAAGATACTTTTAGCCGGGGGAGGGTGTTAAATAAAGGAATCAGTCAATATTTACGTTATTGTTCAAGGTAATTAGTAGATGTTAAAATCCTGGTAAGACCAGAGAAGTTACCAGGATTATATTTTTTAAAATAACAATTATTTTGTTGTTCTGGTGGGATAAAATATGTGTTTCTGTTGTTAATGGTTCTTTATATACCTCTCTGGTAATTAAGACTCTGCTGTAGCTGATGGTACCCTATTACAGTCTTACTTAACTTTTAAATTTTTATAATATCCTGTGCCAGATAATGATGGTATATTCTTAGGATCAAGATGAAAGTAAAGGATTACTCATTCAAAATTAGCAGTTAAAATAATGAACTTAATATAGAATGAACCCCATTATATGTAAGATAACAAACACCCTGAAGCAACAGCCAGAGATGGTAGACATTAATTTTTTCAAATCATCCAATTACACATAATTTCATGTTAATCTGAATGATGCCATTTTTCTTTTGGCATGCATAACTCAGATAGAAACATCCCAAATGGTGTGTATAAAAGCCCAAAGAAACCATCAGTGCACAATATTCTGTTCCCCTTTGAAGCTACAGCTATCCACAGACAAGGAACGTTTCTCCTACCTCCATGTCTCTCCGATTTTCTAGTGGGTCCAGGCGTATTTGCTTGCGGTCTGGACCTGGATCCGTCAGACCAGCCGGTGGAGGCGTGGGCTTTGCAGGCAGCAATGCATGTGGCAGCTCTGCTGCTGGAAGTGGACTTCCCTGTGCCTTGGGAGGGAGCCTGGGCAGTGTTTCTGGCGGGAACCAGGCTGGTGGTGCCTTTGGCAATGCAGCTTGTGCCGGCTTTGCTGGAAGCGAAGGGGGCCTCCTCTCTGGGAACGAGAAGGTGACCATGCAGAATCTTAACGACCGTTTGGCATCCTACCTGGATAATGTGCGTGCTCTGGAGGAGGCAAATGCTGAATTAGAGAGAAAAATCAAGAGTTGGTATGAAAAATATGGTCCTGGATCTTGCCGTGGACTTGATCATGACTACAGTAGATACCACCTAACCATCGACGATCTTAAGAGTAAGGTGAGAAATTGCAAACTTGGAACTATTCTAAGTATTTAAAATGAAGAATTACCTTGCAAAAGACAGAGCTACAACAAGAAATGCTTTATAACTGTTATCTGTAATTTACATTGCATTTATTTATTTATTTAGGTAAATAATTCTTACTTTTAGTCAGAAATAGGCACTTTGATTCAAGAATGTCCATGTAGCTTAAATGTTAATAATTCCACTATTTTTTATTTTGAAGTATGTTCATTGATAAGAAAGTATTGTGCTCTAAAGTTATATGAGTATATGAGAAAAAAACATATATATATTAGTATAACCATACCTGTAACTTTTAAAAATTAAAGTTTAAACATTTTGGTTGTTACCTAAGGGAGTCAGATTTTTATGCAAGAGTCTCATTGTGTAACATTCCTTATCTCCTGAAATAATAAATTATAAAAGCAACTTATTTGTTATGTTCTCCCTCTTGATTTCTTCTAGATTATCTCTTCCACAACGGCTAACGCCAATGTCATTCTGCAGATTGATAATGCCAGGCTGGCTGCCGATGATTTCCGGCTAAAGTAGGTGACAAAATAATCACACTCTAGAAAAAGTTCCCTGTCTATGTACTGTGTTAAATAAGCATTTCCATTTCATCCCACGTAGAACGAAGTGCAACCTAAGAGATTAAAGGAAGTAATGCATGTTATAATATGATATAAAGCATGTTATAATCTTTCAATTAGCTATACTTAGAATTTATACATACTTATTACATTGCTGTGACAAAATATCACTGTATTTCTATGCCTGCCTATAATATACCCTGAGTGGCCAGATTATTATAACCGGGCAGATTATTATGACCACCCCATCAGTATTTCATTGACACTTCCAAAAATACTGAAAATTGAAAACTTCCTAAGCAAATACTCTCAAGGTTTTATTATTATTATTATTTGCATAACTAATTCACTTCATTGTACTGATGGGTGGTCATAATCTGGCCACTCAGTGTAGTGCCAAGAGCAAAGATGTTTGTAAATATTTGTTGACTAAGTAAAAAATATGAACCAAGGTAAAATTACAAAGTGGTATGTTTTATTTAATTGGGATATACCAGTGGAATTTGTGTGATTAGATATCTGCAGATTATCCTGCCCAGAATTGGGTGAAAGGAGAGAAGAGGGTTTTCTCTGTGTACTTTTATAATATTCGGAGTCCGAACTCAATGTCTAACTTTCCATTAAAAGCAATTGAGGCGTTATTGTCCTGTCTCTTGAGGTAGCCTCCCTTGTGCTGATGTTCACTTAATGCCTCTCAAGGTATGAAAATGAGCTCGCCCTTCACCAGAACACCGAGGCCGACATCAACGGGCTAAGGCGAGTGCTGGATGAACTGACGCTCTGCAGGACTGACCAGGAGCTGCAGTACGAATCCCTGAGTGAAGAGATGACGTATCTCAAGAAGAACCATGAAGAGGTAGGAGCAGCTTCACTTCTAGTCACATCACAGTTGCGCACATTTGAAATACTTCCGGGGGACAATTAAATTATAATAGTAATTCACGCTCGTTATAATAACTCAAATAATGCCCAGGCTATCCAGAAAGAATTTCATTTCTCTCACTCTGCCCTTCTACTCTCATCCCTCAAGGTAATAAATGTTAGTAATTTGGTCTGGATCCCTCCATTTTCAAGACCAATATAATATTCTATTTTTCTGAAAATATGACATTACTTTTGCATTAATGCAACCGTCTTTCTTTCAATGACATTATTTCTTTAATTCACATAGGTTTATCTTGCGGTCAATCTTCTCACAAAAGACCTATCAGACTAGAAAAAGATGTCAATGTTCTCCCTACTTAATGAGCCTATTACTATAATATTGAACCCCACACAATGGGAACCCCATAATTTGACGCATAACACCAGGAAACTTCAACCCCCCTCCCCCAGAAAGGTACTACCCCAAAAATAATTGCAAAAGTCTCCAAAATCATAGATGCCAAATTTTCTGAAAACAACCTATGACAAACGTGCCTCATCATTGGGTAGAAATGGCTAAAGAACCAAATCTACTGTCCCCAAAGAGTAAAATTATGGGAGAGGGAGAGAGAGAAGGAGTACTTCAAAAGAAAAAAAAATTAAAATAAAAGAGAAACAGGGAGAGAAGAGAGTGTCCCAGAGCAGGGGGTTGGAAGAGTCAGGCCACCGGAGTATCAGCAAGAGAGTGAAAAACAGACCCAGGCATTGCAGCGAGTGTGACATCAGGGAAAGGAACAATCCCAGAAGAGAAGAAATAGCAACCACAGCAGCCCAGCCAGCTGTGGGCCTTAGGGTAGGAGCAGGAGTCACTGTCCTCCTTAAAGACACCTAAACAAAAAGAAGGTACCTCTGAATGCACCGAGGGTGGGAACAAAGCCACTCGCATCTCAGGGTCCCCCTGAGAGTGTCAAATTTACCACACTCACCAGTGACCGGTACCCCTAGGATAACACCAAGAAATTCCATTTTCTTTTCTTTTTTAATTTTTATTTATTGATTTTTAGAGAGACATCAATTTGTCTTCCACTTATTTATGCACTCACTGGCTGAGTCTTGTATGTCCCCTGAATGAGGATCGAACTCACAATCTTGGCGCATCAGGCGGGTGCTCTAACCAACTGAGCTACCCGGCCAGGGCCCAAGCAACTCAACGTTTAAACTCTTAACAAGAAGAATTTTTCTTCACATGAATTATACACAAAACCCCAAAAATATGGAAATAACTTCAAGTTATCAGTGGTCTCCTTGGGCAATGTAAATCTTTTGCTCTTGGTGGACACTGGCAGGCCACTGGCCTAAGGTCAAAAAAATATGACTTGAGAAAGCAGAGATACCAACCCATCAAAAGCAAGTACTAATGAAAAAGGTCAGCTGCCTAAGGAACTACGCCCAGGTCACTGATAAGCTGATTTGTCCAGAAATCCATTTTTTGACCGGATTAGACTATTTAATGGTTCAGACTAGAACACGCCCTAGGACAGAGTGGCCACAGAGTGTCGTTACTAACAGCAGACATTCTGGAGCAAGTATGTACCACATTCTGACCCTGGGGTGTTCAAATCCCAGCCTTTTGAGTACTAAGAACCTGGGGAGATTCCTTTATCTCTCTGTGCTTCAGTTTCCTGTCTGTCAAATAAGTCTAATAGCACATAACACATAACGAGGTCAGAAGACCTGAATGCGGTAATGCATGTAAACCACTTCGAACAATGCCGGGGAAGCCCTCAGTAAAGGATAGCTCTTGTCCCTCCTGTGAGAGGTCCTTGTGGACAGGGATTTTTCTTTCTTTCTTTTTTTTTTTTTCCTACTGCTTCATTCCCGTCCAGGAGAATGCTCTCTGACATTTAGTCAATAGTTATGTGCCTAATCACTCTCTGGTCTTTGTATCCCGGTCTCATTTTAAAATAATAAAACACTTCTCTGGGGATGCTGCCTTTTCGCTGCGGGGTTGTTTGTGATTGTTTTCACTAACAGACCACTAACTAATTCAATAGATGATCGGCATGACTCTGGGTCGAATGAGTCCATTTGAACGATCTTACGCCTCGCATTATACACTGGAATTTAAACCACAGCCTTTGAGACATGAAGCAACCCTTTAGGAAACTCTCCTCAAATGGTTTGGGTAAATGGCCCCTAAGGTCGGGCTCACTTTTTCCTCTAGGAAATGAAGGCTCTGCAGTGCGCGGCCGGGGGCAACGTGAGCGTGGAGATGAACGCGGCGCCCGGGGTGGACCTCACGGTTCTGCTGAACAACATGCGGGCCGAGTACGAAGACCTGGCGGAGCAGAACCGCCGGGATGCGGAGGCCTGGTTCAACGAGAAGGTGAGGGCCCCCCAGTCAGCCCTGCCCTCGGCACCCCGAGGGTGCAGGCCCAGTGAACCCCTTTGCGCCCTGCCTTCCAGAGCGCCACCCTGCAGCAACAGATCTCCGACGACGCGGGCGCAGCCACCTCGGCCCGGACGGAGCTGACCGAAATGAAGCGCAGCCTGCAGACCGTGGAGATCGAGCTGCAGTCGCTGCTGGCCATGGTAGGTGACAGCGCAGGTCGGCCTGCGTTGCGTGATCCTAACAAGTCTAGCTGAAAACCTCCCGTTTTCCCTGTTAGAGCTTTTACCTACAAATGCCTCCTGGGGACAGCAGGGAAGACAGACGCTGAGACAGTCAGAGAGACTAGACAAAGCTCTCTTCCTCCCTGAAGCCACTGAGGATTTCTTTCCTGGCAGGTGCTCAGGGCCCATTTCATGAAATAGCCCCTTCCTCGGGTGGCTCATCTCAGCCCTGGATGGCAAGCAGCAGGCACTGTGCTCCACCACAAAGTTAAGTGGCAGGCTGACATCAGGCGAGCACAGGGGGCAGAGCTGGTGTGGACGCCCTCAGCATCTCCTAGTATTGATGAAAGCCTATGGAAAGCCACCTCGCGCTTTTCCTTGGACAGAGGAAAAGAGGGTGCGTCTCTGATTCCCTGTGAGCCCTGCCAGCCTCTTCATCACCAGGGGGTCCAGGACAGCAGTCCCTGGAGACCACCCAGCACTAAAACCAGCTTCCCTCTGGAGCAGCGGTTCTCAACCTGTGGGTTGCGACCCCTTTGGCGGTCGAACGACCCTTTCACAGGGGTCGCCTAAGACCATTTACATGACGATTCATAACAGTAGCAACATTACAGTTATGAAGTAGCAACGAAAATAATTTTATGGTTGGGTCACAGCATGAGGAACTGTATTCAAAGGGCCGGAAGGTTGAGAACCACTGCTGGAGTGTCAGCTGGCAGCACCCAGAAGACTGGATTTGGAGAATGATGACACAGGTGGGCCCAGGGGTTCCCTGTTACCGTCAGAGGCTTCAGGCGCCCTGAGGACACCAGATCGCAACACAAAGAAAGAGCCATTATTATACAAATGAGTGCAGTAAGCCAAGAAAAAAAAAAAAAAGATGGCTCAAAACAATAGGAAGGTTATTTTGATTTAGCCACCCTAAAAAGGGGCAGTGCTTTCTTATCAGATAGCATTTAGATTGGAGACTTATTTTACCACTGATTGAATCCCAACTTAACTGCCATGCCCTCTTTTCACCTTCATCACCACTGTGGCTGGTACCCGAAACCCTCCAGACTACAGACTTTGAGCTCCTGGAACCCTCCTCTCTTCCCCATCCTCTTCTCTCCTGTAACTGGAACCCTGAGGACCTATTCCTGCTGCTGTCCCCTGAATAGGAATCCCTCCTCTTGCTTTTGTGCTGTGTTAAAGGAAATGAATCACTCAGTTCCCAGATCAGAATTTAAGCATTTCACACAGAAACAATGATGTTAGAAAGTAGTTAGATTCTATGTAGCCGGTATAGTACTGTAGTTTGGGCTCATGAAATAATCCACAACAACAAAACAAACAGACAAACAAAACCTTTGTAACATACAACATAAATGAATTCTAGAATATGGTGGCATAGAACTAACTTCCATGCCTGAGATTCTTCTGTCGTAGATGAATTCTATGCACAGTATCCTATAGTTTCGTGCACAAATCATATGTAAATTGGGAGTTGTCTAAATGGATAAACTCAGGTTTCATATGCTTCCAACTTCCAAGTAGTTTACCAACTTCCAAGTTCATTCTGCTCTCCTTCCACCTCCATGAGCCAACCTTTATAGCAGAAGGCTATGGGATAGAGATGCTGTCCCCTCTGATTTAAGACAGCGTTAATAACCTTAAAAAGGAATACCATCACCAAAGAAGTTAAAGTTCTGAACAGCCAACCACACACCTCATTGACCCCTTGCCACTTCTTGCCTCACCCTCCCCATTACCATCCTGGTCACCTTCCACTCCTCTGCCCCTGGAGAGCCCAGTACCACCCATGTAATGCACCCATCAGCCTCTTGGACCCACTGTCTGTCTGTCATGACAAATATTTTATAATTTCCTCTTCATAATCTTAAAATGAAGTCAATAGATAATATATTTAACAATTTACACAAAAAAGAATTTTAAACCAGTGCAATGTCATAACTGCAATAAAAAGGAGAATTAAATGTATTTTAATATAAAAATGTATTTAATATGTAAATACGTGAGTCCAGCTCCCCTAGAGTATGTAATGAAAGAGACAGAGGCTTACACATTTCTCTGATAAATAAGTTTTGTTCTAAACAATCAGGAATTGCTCCACACAAGAAGAAAAGGGAAATGAAAGAGTGGATGGGGGTGGACACTTGGATAATAACTAATATCAGGAGAAATAATAAGCACCCAGATATATTTATATATGATAAGGGAAAGAGGAAAATTACTTTAATTAAAGTAAGGATCACATAACAAGACAAATTACAGACTATGGAAGTAGAAATGAGTAGGTATAATATTCATAAAAGTAGTGTTGAAATAATGGCCTGGACTGTGTTATTAAATATGCCCCTTGTCTTGAAATTCCACCTCTGTCAAGCTGAAATCTCCATTTCAGCCTAAGAAAAGGCCTTTGATTGACATTAGAAAATCGAGGATAGATGAGACTGGGAACAATGGTAGGGTAGATCTCTGGGGACAGTAGCAGAATAAGATTGAAAACAATAGGCAACCCCAAAATACATAAGTAATTTCAAAATATATGATTGCCAATGTTGATTTCTTATTGTGCTACCCCCAGAAAGTGTTTTAATACCTAGGTAGGTGATAATAGCAAATATTAACTAAATATCATGAACGTCCATTGGAAAAGTCTTAGGGCCAAAAGGTCATTTAGCCCATGTCAGGTCATCTAGCATGCCTCCCCCTCCCCCATCTCCAGTGAAACCAGTCCCTTCCCCTTCTTCTCCACCTCCCATTTTATTGTGACAAGCCCCACAAATTTCCAAAGCTTGCCTAAGGAGCAGCACTGCCTTTTGCTGGGAAACACTGGTCTACACAGCCCTCAAAGTGGCTTCACCCCTTGCTCTGACATCTTTTTCGTCCTCAGAAACAGTCCCTGGAGTGCTCCCTGTCTGAGACAGAAAGCAACTACTGTGCGCAGCTGGCCCAGATGCAGGCTCAGATCCGGGCCCTGGAGGAGCAGCTGCACCAGGTCAGAACCGAGACCGAGGGCCAGAAGCTCGAGTACGAGCAGCTCCTGGACATCAAGGTCCACCTGGAAAAAGAGATTGAGACCTACTGCCGCCTGCTAGATGGAGATGGAAAGTAAGTGACCCCACACATTGTCTGTTCACCTTCCATGCCTCAAAGCCTTTCTTCTTTATTCCCACAGCCAAAAAGCCTGCTCATCTCTCGCCTCTGCAGTCATCTTTTCCATATTTTGTATACCACAGCCTGTAAACCTGGGGTTTAAAAAATCAAATGGAAAGAAGGTTGTTTTCTGTCCTCTCTTTAGATGACATTTAATTACCTTCAGCTCCTGCCCCCCAAAATCTATTTTCCTTTATGAAAAACTAAGACCTGGTTTTGGCATACAAAGTTCACTTAGTTTATGTTCACCTATCAATTCAATAAGTGATAAACAGAAATATTAAAAAATAAACTGTGGTTTTTTACAGCTCATGCTCCAAATCAAAGGGCTTTGGATCAGGAAGCTCAGGGAATTCATCTAAAGGTAATAAAATCTAATTGTACTTCTATTGCAGCAAATACTTCTGCATTAATGGCAACCGTACACTATGGCAACAGTCTATATTTAAACAATTTAAACCAAAGTGCTTAGCTTGGAACTTAAAATATTATTTTAAATGGATAAAACTGTTCTAAACTATGGGATATCCCCCCAAAAATGTATACACACTTTAACAGCTGGTAGCTCAATTTTGAATATGAAATGTATTTTAATCAACACTGCCTTTATAATTATTCAACATGTGTGTATACATTTTTGGGACACCCTATATTATCATAAATCTACTAGAGGCCCGGTGCATGGATTCATGCACCAGTGGGATCCCTCAGCCTGGCTTGCAAGGATCAGGCTGAAACCAGCTGACATCCCCTGAGGGTCCCAGATTGTGAGAGGGTGGTTCTTGGGTGACACACCCCAGAATCGGGCTCCCTCCTCTCTGGTTCTGGGTTCATCACACGAGAACCGCAGCTGCCAAGTGACAGCAGCTTGGCAGCTCCTGCGTTGAGCATCTGCCCCCTGGTGGTCAGTGCGCATCATAGCTACTGGCCCGTTGGCCGGTCAGCTGGTCGGCCATCGGCCAGTCACTTAAGCTTTCATATATATAGATATTTATTCCCTCACCAAAAATGTACATAATATATTATATTACAACCAACAGTTGAATTCTTTGTCATGCAATCTTTTAGGTTGAATATGTGTATTCATATATGTTTTACTTCTAGATTTATCCAAAACCACGCTGGTAAAGACGGTGGTTGAAGAGATAGATCAACGTGGTAAAGTCCTTTCATCGAGGATTCAGTCCATCGAAGAAAAGACATCTAAAATTACCAATGGCAAGACAGAACAAAGGGTTTCTTTCTAGCTGTCATTTTTGAGAAAAGAATAATTTGGGGAAGGATCCTGCACAACTGCATTATTCTAAATCTCAAGGAGATAATAAAAATACTTTCTACCTTTAAGATAAGTTTCTTGGGGGGAAGACCTGTTTTCTTGGTTACCTTTTACTGGAAAAGGGGTGTTTATTTTCAAATAAATAAAGAAGGTAATGTGCACTCATTTGCATTCACTCATGACTAATAAATAATGATTTGCGATTTATTTTGTCTTGGATTCTAAGCCTTCCCTGTTCTTGTTCATTTTGCCCTCTAGTGGTTTCTTGACAAAGTATGTAAAAGAGGTAAATGTGTGAGATCTGTCTTGTCTGAAAATATTTTTATTTCACCCTCCCTCATGATGAATTATCAAAGTAGAGAACTTTGGGTTGGACAGTGCTTTCAGTTAGAATTTTTCAAAGTCACTCTTCACGGGAATCATGGCTTCCAGGGCTGAGACATCAGAGCCATTCTGATTTCCCCATCAATGGCTCACAACTAGAAAGTGGCAGAACTGCGATATGAATGCTGATATATCTGATCCAGGAGTTCAAGTTTTCCCCATCAGTGTGGCTCAGCAGTTGAGCGTCAAACCAGGAACCAAGAGGTCCCTGGTTTGATTCCCAGTAAAGCACATACCCAGGTTTTGGCCTCAATCCTCAGTGTTTCTACCTCTCTATCCCTCTCCCTTCCTCTCCTTCTAAAAAGAAAAAAATCAATAAAAATTTTTTTAAACAGTCCAAGTTCTTCCATGAATGGCGCTGTACTTCAGGAATAATAACCTTGGCACCCAACTGCTTAATGACCATGATAGAAAGAAAAGACTTGAAACCAGAAATCCAATTAAGGTTCTACTAACTGATTCGAAAGAAAATGAGAGTGACAAGGAAAACAGAAAAGAGAAAAATGCTTCAAGAGACACTGCAAAAGTAGATTCAAGAGGACTTACTGACCTATTATATGTGGGCTGGTAGAAAATAGCAGTCGGAGATTTCTTAGTAATCTTGAGCATGGCACAGTAATTCCACCAGCAACTAATGAAAAAAGATGCAAAAGATCAAATTTTGATGCCAAGATAATTATGTGTTGAGTTGGAAGTCAAGACAGAATATCCAAGTAGAAATGTCCAGAGGGTGTCGGAAGGTGAGGGTCCAGAGAGGGGGAAAGGACGGTGCTAAAAATGTATATTTAGAACATGCACCTGGGAGCCAAAAAGGGATGAGATCACCAAGAGAGTGTGTACAAATCAGGAACACCGAGCACAAAATGTAAGAAATGGCAAATTTTAGAGCAAGAAACTATGAACTATGAAGAAAGAAGAGGAGCGGAGATATAGAGGTATTCTCAGAAAGCAGTTATTGAAAATTCAGTTGCCAAAACCGGTTTGGCTTAGTGGACAGAGCGTCGGCCTGCGGACTGAAGGGTCCCAGGTTCGATTCCGGTCGGGGGCATGTGCCTGGGTTGCGGGCACATCCCCAGTGGGAGATGTGCAGGAGGCAGCTGATTGATGTTTCTCTCTCATCGATGTTTCTAACTCTCTGTCTCTCTCCTTTCCTCTCTGTAAAAAATCAATAAAATATATTTAAAAAAAAAAAAAAAGAAAATTCAGTAAAACTGAATTTAGTATCAAATGTGTCTAAGAGAGTGTAGGAGAAGGAATATGAGAAATGATGACTGGATTAGTGATGTGGGGTAATTGACAATCTTAGAGAGATTAATTTCATAAAGTGCTGGGACCAAATTCAGGAGTGAGTAGGAAATGAAAGGTGGAGAAAATGAATGCAGAAAAGTTTTCTAGAAAAAATGAAAGAAATGTAAAAGTACAAGAAATATAGAAATAGCTCTGGCCAGGGTGGCTCAGTGGATCAAGCGTTGTCTAGTACACCAAAGGTTGCATTCAATTCCCAGTCAAGGCACATGCCCAGCTTGTGGGCTCCATCCCCAGTAGAGGGCATGCAGGAGGCAATCAATAGATGTTCTGATCTACATCGATGTTCCTTTCCTCTCTCTCTAAAAATCAACAACAACAACAACATTTTTTAAATAATAAAGTCTACCTATAATGCCACCACACAGAGGCAACCCTATTTACATTTTTAAAAGAAATCCAGAAATAGAAAACATACAGGCCATAGTCTAGTCCCTTCATTTTACAGATGAGGGGACTGAGGTCCAGACAGGTAACCAATACCTTCACTTAACCTGGTTAGCAAGAGATCTTAGACAGAAAACAAGTAAAGATGAAATGGTAATTCTTCAGTTTTCATTTAAAGACCTGGTCACGTTCCTCTGGTACCATAAGCCCAAGGTTTTGAGCAGTGGTTCTCCACCTTCTGGCCCTTTAAATACAGTTCCTCATGTTGTAACCCAACCATAAAATTATTTTTGTTGCTACTTCATAACTGTCATGTTGCTACTGTTATGAATCGTAATGTAAATATCTAATATGCAGGATGGTCTTAGGCGACTCCTGTGAAAGGGCCGTTCGACTGCCAAAGGGGTCACGACCCACAGGTTGAGAACCGCTGGTCTTGAGATTTTTTTTTCAACACATCAAAAAGAAAGATCATATTATCCATAGAAAACCATAAATATGTTACCTCACTTGCTGGGGGTGAGGGGAATGGAGTGTTGTTAGTTAATCAAGAGAAAGAGAAACTTGTCTATGACACTTTTTTATTCTTTTAGGGATTTTATATTCCTGAAGCCTGGGAGACAGGAAGACTTACTCATACTGCATTTGAAATGCGTCACTATAATAATCTTGATAATACCCCTTCCTGTCTTATTTTGGAGATAACATATAACCCCAAGGTAACTATCCACCTACAGAAATGGACACAGTAGGGTAAAGACATTCATTAAAAAAAAAAAAAGTCACCCAATTATAAATAATTCATGATGAGCTGGCAAGCACCATTTTGCTCTGGGTTGCAAGGTTCATGCAGAAACACCCTGATCGCGTGTATATAAAGACAAGCTGAACTGTGTGAGCAGGACACTCACCAGGCAGCTTCGTTCCGGGCACAAGCTTCGCTCCAGCCTGGGCGCCATGTCTGTGCGCTTCTCTTCTGCATCCAGACGCCTGGGCTCGTGCGCGGGCGCGGGCTCTGTGCGGCTGTCGAGTGGGGGAGCCGGCTTTGGGGCTGGAAACGCGTGCGGTGTGCCGGGCATTGGAAGTGGCTTCTCTTGCACCTTTGGGAGCAACTCGTCTGTAGGAGGCTATGGCGCAGGGCTGGGCGGGGGAAGCGCTTCCTGTGCTGCCTTCCTTGGGAATGAACACGGCCTCCTGTCCGGCAACGAGAAGGTGACCATGCAGAACCTCAACGACCGCCTGGCCTCCTACCTGGACAACGTCCGAGCCCTAGAGGAGGCCAATGCGGACTTGGAGCAGAAGATCAAAGGGTGGTATGAGAAATATGGGCCTGGCTCTTGCCGCGGTCTGGATCATGATTACAGCAGATACTTCCCGATAATTGACGACCTTAGGAGCCAGGTAAGAAGCACAATGTCATGAGGGTTAAGACCCATAGGAGTATTTAGCTACATGCACACACTCACAAATATATAAGCAATCACACACAGGAAGCAGGGCTCTGCCTTCAGCTTCTAATTCTCGGTACTTCGTTATTCATATTAAAAATAATGTACATTAAAAATAATGTATATTAAAATTCTCATCTTTGAACATGTCTCACTTAGCACCTGGTACAAAGTGAGCATATTGATGCTTTTAATAATATCAAAAACTGCCCAATGTCTCCAGCTATATATTACAGGCTTTTCTATAAAAAGAGGTTTTTGTTGTTTTTTATGGGGGTGGGGGAGGGGAGTAAAAGAGGTCAGACTTAAATTTCCCATTTTCAATAGAATCATCTTATTATTGGAGACAGGGTGCCAGAAATATTACTATTATTTCATTGTTGACTTTCTTCAAGGAAATTTGAAAATTTAAAAAGGATTTCCTCACTCTTCACTAATTCTCCATTTATCAGATAATTTCTGCAACTACAAGTAATGCCAGTGTTGTCCTGCAAAATGATAATGCGAGACTAACAGCTGATGACTTCAGGCTAAAGTAAGTAGAGCTTAAGAGAATTTTTTAAAAAAATTATTTAAGCAGGTCACTCTTTTATTTAGGCTATTTGAGGTTGGCTCAATTCTTTGTTTCTCTTTGTCTGTTAAATGTGTACTATAACTAGTCTGAATTATATATTTTACTTGGGAAATATGAGGGCCGACAGATGAATGTCAACATCACATGAAAGAAAATTTTGACTATTTCCGTTCTCTTGCTTCAGAGAAATTCATGTATTGCCTTATGGCTGATCCAAGTGAAGTTCTGAGTATATTTTAACAGTTTGACCTCAAAGCTTCAAGTTCTACAGTGGCCTAAAAGGTGATGTGACTAACGTGATCAAACTTACAAATATTTTCTGAGGTTTGAGAACGAGCAGGCCCTTCACCAGAGCGTGGACGCAGACGTCAGCAGTTTGCGCCGGGTCCTGGATGAGCTGACTCTGTGCAGGACGGACCTGGAGATCCAGCTGGAGACTCTGACCGAGGAGCTGGCGTATCTCAAGAAGAATCACGAGGAGGTAGGGGCCTCTCCCCCGATTCCACAACCCGCCCTCCTCCCAAACTCTAAAAATGCCTTTCAGATGACAACTGTAATGTCTGAAATCAATCTCAAGGAGAAACTTGTCAATTTCTCCATATGGTTTGATGGTTTAAAATGTTTCTATTCTTCCCCCTCTAAAGAAACGAACCCTAAAAAAAAAAAGTGTCTAACTGTATGGATCGTGTCTGTCTGGCTCCTTTAAAAACATGCAGATCCTGCCCTGACCGGTTTGGCTCAGTGGATAGAGCCTCGGCCTGCGGACTGAAGGGTCCCGGGTTAGATTCCGGTCAAGGGCATGTACCTTGGTTGCGGGCACATCCCCAGTAGGGAGTGTACAGGAGGCAGCTGACCGATGTTTCTCTCTCATCGATGTTTCTAGCTCTCTATTCCTCTCCCTTCCTCTCTGTAAAAAATCAATAAAATATATATTAAAAAAAAATTCAGATCCTAACTAACACGGTTTAACAAATCGGTGCCAGGAAATGAAGGCTCTGCAGTGCGCCGCTGGCGGCAACGTGAACGTGGAGATGAACGCGGCGCCCGGGGTGGACCTCACGGT